TAACATTTCTAAGCGCATGCATATACCAGTCAGAAAAAAAAAAATATAAGATGCAACTTTCACTCTTTGTGCTGTACACAGACGCAAAATAAATCAAACATGATTCAACAGCTGCAAATACAGATCCTTCTCACTTTTTTTTGTTTGCGTTTTCGTACATCTCGTTTATTTCCTTTCTTTTTGAATTATTCTTGACGGAAATTGTTGGAAGATTACGGCGATTCCAATCAAAAGAAGAAGAAAAAAATCAACTCGCGTTCTGATTGTGCAGTACAGTACAGTATTTTAAACTACTGTCAAACGTAGATAGATTAGGACTCCTAAGATAATTTTTTTTTAAACTTTAATAAGAATCGGTTGATGTGATGAAATTTCGAAAAATGCCGTCATTATTTCTGAAGGGAACAATGAGAATGCATCATTAATTTCCATTGCCCGTTGCACTCTATAAAATAAAAAAAAACAGTAATACAGCTCTAATAACTGTAAAAATTATTTCGAGACAGACAGACAGACATACATACATTTCGTTCAATTGAAGAACCCACGCATGCACACTCACCATAGCAAGTGATGCGTCTGACGTTGATTGAATGTACTGTACCATATATTACACACATACGGACTGATTTCTTTAACCCACAGCAGGAAGAAATGACGGAGACGACGACCCCTCATCCAGCCTCGTCATCATCAACATCAACAACAAGGACGAGGACGACAATAATAAGAAGAAGAAGAGCAAGTACTCCATCTCGCCGACCTCTTGCCTCGGGCCATCCGGCCAGACCGGAACCTGCATGTTCCACTTCCAGTGCTCCCGACGCAACGGGACCGTGTTGGGCTCGTGTCAGGACGGCTTCCTCATCGGGGCCTGTTGTGGACGACCAAGTACCTCCTCCTCCTCCTCCTACAACAACAACAATGAAAAACAAAAACAACAAGGAGGAGGAGCAGCAGCAGCAGCGGATAAAGTCATCGAGGATGACAATGACAATGACAAAGCGGATGATGCAGCCAACCGGATCGTGGCCGTCGTGGGAGACGCGTCTCAGCACCGCAACCACGACTACCACTTGTGGCACGTGCCTCATCACCAGCAGCAGCAGCAGCAGCACATTGCCACTGCCAACAACAACAACAACAACAGCAGCAGCAGTAGTGCCAGTGTTGCGGCAATTGATGTGCCACTAACAGCAGGCGCATCAGGAGCGGGAGCCATTCTCTCTGCTGCTGCTGCTGACACTCACTCTCTCCTGCAAGACTTTTGGTCCTCCTACTTCCGTCACCAACAGCAACAGCAGCAACAGAATCAACCCTCTGATCCTGATGCTGGTGCTGGTGCTGCTGGACCAGGCAATACGAATCTCTTGATTGCCCACGATGCACCATCAGACAAGGAGGAGCAGCATGAAAAGAGAAAGACTCCATTGAAACCAGCATTCCTGCCACCATCTTCTCAGTGGACACTGCCAGAACCCGAAACAACTACGACAATGCCAAAACCAACAACAACAACAACAACAACAACAACAAAGGAAAACCAGGAAACAACAACCAGGGCAACAATGACACCCAAGACTGCATCTGCTGAACCCAGCAACTTGGTGTCATCAACATCAACAAAACCTACTACTACCACCACAACGACTACACCATCTTTGTCTCCTGCAACAAAGACGCCTGCGGCTGATGATGAGACAGGCTCCATGGACAATGAAGAATCCATTGTTGTCAGTGCTGGAGCAAGTGTAAAGAGTAGTAGCAGCACCACCTCCACCACAAAATCAGAATTGATGTCACCTTCTGCCACAAAGGAGGCTGTTATCGATGCCAAACAAACCACAGCCACAACTGGGAAATTGGCAGATCACTCAGCAGCAACAGCACAAGACAGCCAGGCACTCAGAAGGACCAGTAGCAGACCTGGACCAAAGCTGCCCATTGCTGCTGTTTCTGCATCAAAACCAACACCCATTACTATGATTACTACTACTACTACTACTGCAACCACTGCTGCCAAAGCAAGCAGGACACCTACACCTGCTGCTCCTCCTAGTACTGATTCCTCACAACCTTCTCATCCCTCAGAAGACACCTCTCCAACTAGTGCCACCACTACCACTACCACCATCACCACCAGCAGGAGCAGCATCATGACTCAACAACCACCATTCTCAGAAGCAGGCAATGAGGAACACAAAGGCACCTTGAATGAAAAGCAGGGAATAAGCAGTACTATTAGTACATGGATGCTAGACCATCAGCAGAACAAGCAGGGGAATCTTGGGGACCAGTACTATGACAACAGTAGTAGTGATGGTAATAGTAATACTGGCCAGCAAAAACAGCATGGTAGCATTGATTTCATTCTCTTTTTTTTCTCCTTGCATTCCCCAGCAGCAGCAGCAATAGGGCCAAATGCAGAAGACATGTCCACACCACGTGTTGACAACCTGGCCCCACTGCAGGACACCTTCACATTGCACTGGACAACCCGACGACCCCCGACAGTGTACGATCAGCCACACTGGTCCCTGGTCCAGGTGCAGCCCGTCACGTCATCGTCAGGGCCAGCATGGCCAGAACCAGCAGAGCTCCGCCCATCATCCCATTTCCAGCTTCTGGGGTCAACAACACCAGCATCAGCATCATCAACAACAACAAGAACAACAACAATTACTACTACTACTACTCCTACTACTACAGCCGTGCCACAATGGACAAGGATACGGACAACAACACCAAGCTATGGCACAAAGGGTGGAGCAGCAGCAGCAGCAGCAGCAGAAGAAGAAGATGATGATGAGTATGCTGAGAAACCAGCAACTTGGAATTACGAATACCTTGGCACAAGACCCTCGCCATTTATTGCCACAACTGTCTTGTTGCCAGAAAAGTCTGCAACAGCAACTCCAGTGAACACCTGGCTCCTGTCAAAGCCATCATTGCCACCTTCTTCTGCTCCAGCAGCAGCATCAGCAGAGAAAACCAGCAGCAGACCAACAAGCATCAATAGTCATCACCCTGCAGCAGCACCAGATGTCACATGGGGTTACACAACAATCCAACAACAGCAACAGACTGAGTTATTCCTGGATGACATAATGCCAGCCATCAGCATGTCTGTCAATGTAGTTGACCTTGTGAGCATCAAGCCCGAGTTGTCCACTAATAAGCTGTCACAAGTGGTCCATGATGAGAACAATGTTTTCTTGCTGTCCAACAACAACAACAACAACAACAACAAAAACAAGTACCAGTACACTCCTCATCATCATCATCAGTATGAAGGTGGAGAAGAAGAAGAAAAGGATGAGCACAACACCATCCTGGTTGATGCTGCCTTCATCGGCAGCAGCAGTAATAATAAGACAGGACACGAGGACAATGACAGGGCCACCACAATCCACTCGGTGAGTGTCATCACGAAAAAAAAAGCCAATTTACTGGGTGGGCCAAAAACAAAGTGAATGACAATTTTTGAATGGTTTTTGTGACCATGCAGGCATGCAGTGGCACTTGTACTGTACTTAGAAGAAAAGTGAAGAAGCTTTCATTTGATGCTTTTTCTTTATTGCTGAAGCTTATTATTTTGTTACTGCAAGGTATTGTCATTGAATGGTTGGTTAACTTTTTTCTTTTTTGGTCTATATACCCTGCAATTTGGCATGATGATGGTGCCATGCATAAAATACAATATTTTTCATCTCTTTGCTGTTGTACATGCAGGTCATCAACTACATCAATTACCCTACACCAACGACAACCACCATGATGACACCACCACCAACATCAACAACAACAAGGAGGACAACCAGCATGGCCCCAACTCGACGAGTCAGCCCAACCATCAAGAAGGTGGTGGTGACAACTCCTCGTCCTTTGCCATCATCACCACCATCACCTCTGAATAATAATAATAATGTGAGGCCATCGAGTCCAGTGGGCCCTCATCCCTCAACAGCTGGGTCATCATCCCTGCTGAAACCCGTCAAGGTGTCCATCACGTGGACGCAGACGGACAAGATCGTGCCGTCGTCCCTGTTTCCCTCGCTGGCCATGCGTCCATCACCAACAGCTACAGCAACAATGAGTAGCAGCAGCATCATCAGCAGCAGCAGCAGCAGCAGCAGGCCAGCATCCCAAGTCCCGTATTCCCCGATCCTGACGATCGGCTCCACTCGACGGCCACCGTTTATACGTGTCCCGCCGCCGCCCGTCAGTCAGCCATCATCGTCGTCGTCGTCGTCCCTTGCCCAGGCTCAGCAGCAGCAGCAGCAGACGGCGTCCATTACTCATCCTCATCGTCCCCCTTATTCCGCTGCCGCCTCACCAGTCCTCATCAACAACAAGTCAGCTGTGACTGCCCCGACGACGACGACAGCGACGACAACGATATCGTCATCGTCTTCGCCCAGGTCAACGGAAAAGACCCACACCCCCAACCATCCAGGTAAATATACAGTACTGTACTGTACTGTACAGCACGGACGTATGATTATCCATCATCATCACACATTCATGCGACTTGCTGCTGATGCCTTCATGTTGTTCTTCATATTAATATGTTCACTCCAGCAGCACCACACTTGAGTTTGAAAAAGCAAATGAATACCATGCAAAAAGCCATCACTCAATAATCCGTCGCACAGCAGGAATACATTAGTGTATACACTGTGCTGTACTCGTATAATGCAAGTCACCTACTTCTCATGTCTCTCTCTCTCATATTGCACTGACACCTCTTTCTGTCTCTCTTCACCTTTGTATTTCATTATGCCATCACGCACGATTTAAAAGCCACGGTGACGACGACGACGACAACGACGCAAGCGACATCTGTGACGATGAGCATCGAGGCAACGCCCAGCACAACACCAGGTGCCGCTGGTGCATTGTTGGTAGTGAATCGGATTGACTCCCCTGCTGCTGCTGCCGTCGACGGCACAAATGCTGATGCTGCAGTGACAACCACCACCACCACCACCACCTCAACAACAACAACAACAACAACAACAGCAGAAGCCACTACAACACCAAAGAGGAACTGGGACTATCGACTGCGTGAGACCATATACGTATACGGGTTGCAATATATTATTAACATCATAATATGCTGAACCAAACTCACTGCTGCATGCCATATTCCTTCTCATCACCTCTATATTCACAGCATATAAATATACCCTCCTATCCCCCTCCCCTCAGCACGGAATCGGAATACCATCTAAATTCACACTGTACATTAACTCGCTATTATTGATGGTTATTCTGTTCAGACTGCGGCGTGAGGACCATCCCGAAAGACGAGCGCGCTGGCCGGATCGTGGGCGGCAAGAAGACGAGCTTCGGCGACTGGCCCTGGCAGGTGCTGGTGCGCGAGTCCACCTGGCTGGGCCTCTTCACCAAGAACAAGTGCGGCGGGGTCCTGCTCAACGCCAAGTACGTCGTCACGGCAGCCCACTGTCAGCCAGGGTGAGATGAATGAAAGACTATATATACAGTATATATTCATCTCTTCGTCGTCGTCGTCGTCATCATCATCTTGCTTCTTCTTCGTCGGATAAGGAGCAGCAGCACCAGTGAAAAACAGAGTGCAATGCGAAGGATACATCATATGTCAGTGTGAAATGCAATATATCCGTCTGTTGCTGCTGCTGCTGCTGCTCATTATCATCATGGCTGCCTGCCTTTCTGGGCCACGCACCGTTTTGTTGAGACCCGCTCATGCAGGGATCATTTTCGGTTCTGGGTCACACACTTAATATTACTCGTATATATATATGTGTGTGTGCAGCGACTATTAGTTTCACCACTACCACCATTATCCTCATCATCGTCATCATCGGCTACCTGACTTTGCTTCCTTCCTTCCTTCTCCTTTTTATTTCAATTTACTCGTATTTTCTATAAGGGCGGCATTAAATATATAGTGATGAAAGATGCCGTGTGAACGTCGTGTTTCATGTCTCACCGCCGCGCTGCTTTCATGCATCATGCATGCTTCGCTTAATTTAACCGGTGCTTATTCCGAGTCATCAGCAGCATCACCACCTCCTCTCTCGTCGTGCGATTTATCACACTATTCAAGTCACGTCTCTCTCTCTCTCTCTCTCGTCTTTTTTACATTTTTTAAAAGAAGGTTGTCCCATCAGCAGGATTAATCGAATTGTGGTGTTACATTGCTGTCGTTGAAATAATCTCTCACCAATTACCAAAAAGGGGGCAATGACGTTGATGTACTGTATTTAATTTAATTATTTCTCCTGGCCGAATTGTTATATACGTATATGTATACAGCTCGGTGCAATACTGAATTTATAAAAAAAATTATCATTATTATTACTAGAATATTTGGAATGCAAGTATCATAATGATACAATGATTATGCCTCAATTATTGACTTGATGATGTAATGTGGAATGTATGCAGCAGTACATGCACCTCATTCACATGCACTGTATTTATGTATGTAACGTATGCTGTATGTGTGTATGTGTATACAGGTTCCTGGCTTCTCTGACCGTGTCCCTGGGCGAGTACGACCTTCGGGGCCACCTGGAACCCATGCGGACCGTGGAGAGGAACGTGAAGCGGGTCGTGGTGCACAGGGACTACGAGCCCAAGACGTTCGAGAACGACATTGCATTGTTGGGCGAGTGGTGCCGATGGAAATTGCATTCTCAACGCTGTTGACGATGCAGGATGTTGATTTATTGATTTATTATTCTTGCTTGTTGATACTGCAGAAATGGACAAGGCAGTGGACTTTCGGCCGCACATTGTGCCCATCTGCTTGCCCGAGGGCGAGGAGGACTTTGTGGGCCAGGAGGCCATCGTGTCCGGCTGGGGCAGGATTAAATACGGTAATAATACTCGTTGTTGTTGCATTAGTATTATTACATGCTGTATATATATATATATATATATGCACACTTCAGGTGGCAGTGTTCCCAGTGTCCTCATGCAAGTCCAGGTGCCCATCATGAAGAACGCCGAGTGCCAAAAGATGTTCGAGAAAGCGGGCCACCCCAAGAAGATCCGCGACTCCTTCTTGTGCGCCGGCTTCGAGACGGGCCAGCACGACTCTTGCGAGGTACTGTACAGTACAGTGATCATGGTGCAGATGTCGCTCCTATACACGCGCATGTGATCGCCATGCTGTGCTGTACTGTCCTATCCTTCCTTCCTTCCTTCCTTCCTTTTTGCATTGCATTGCATTGCATTATACACTTCGTACTGTATATTATATAGGGCGACAGTGGGGGCCCGTTGCAGAAGGAGATGCCCGACGGACGATGGGTGCTGATCGGGACAGTGTCCCACGGGATCAAGTGCGCCTGGCCCAACTTGCCGGGCATCTACATGAAGATGACCTACTACAAGCCCTGGATCATGAACATCATCACCAGCACCAGCTGACCCCTGCTGTAAACCCCCCTTTTTCTCCCGACCCTTTCTTTCTTTTTTAATTGCCCATTATTTATTATGCATCGATTCATCCATCCATCCCCTTGTTTTGTTTTTGTTTTGATATTATACTATACAAGTTCCTCGTCGTCAGTAGTCGACGACGACGACGACGTTGTTGTTGTTGTGCTGTGTTACTATTTGGCGATGGTTGCTGCTGCTGCTGCTGCTGCTATTGTTTGGCCCTCGTCGTCAATCATCAATTGTTGTTTTGCACGATAATATGCATCATATGATGCTGTACAGTGAATATTATATGACGACGAAGAGGCCCGATCGCGGGAAAAAGAGGCTTTCCCGTGTATACTGCATATATATATATATATGTATATATACAGTAGATAGGGAGTATATATGATGAACAAGACTGAGGAAAGGATGACGAATTAATGCAGCAATGATTATTTATTGTAGGGCGGGCGATGACTACAGCATGTATTTATAATTGTATGGCGCCTATTGTTTTTCGCGACTGTTGCATGTTATTTTCCTTGACTCGGCCCCTCGCTGATTCTGATGCTGCGTGTGTGTGTGTTTTGGACGAGATGCGAGTAATTTATTTTTGGGTGAAACAAGCTAGGTTCCCATATTCAATTGATGATTGCATGCCCATGATGATGATGTTGTCGTTGTTTTGAACCGTCCCCCGATTCGGGAACATATCCTGATGCTGTGCGTATATATTAGCAGACGAGGTGCACCATAGATGCTAATTATACCTGTGTTTCAAGAATGGCTGGCTGATGGTACAGTATATATATATATATTTATTTACAGTGTATACTGATTGATGTACTCTATAAATGTTCTGTGTATACGTGCATTGAAAACACGAGAGAGAAAGAAAAGAATAAAATTGGAAACGAAAAGGAAATGCTGGCAGAAAAGAAGGCTTTGTTTTTTGTTTTTTGTTTTTTGAGTGCATGCTCAACTATTATATAACGCGTATACTGTGTATGAATACAGTGCTATACAGTATGTACACAGGATCATGCAGGAGATTCTCCAATAACGCACAGTATTGTTTATTATTGATGCACAGCAGGACATAATGGCACGGAAAAGGTGAGGAAGACTCTCTTAATATGGCATATATTTGTCTCCCTTATTTCTTTAGACAACGCGGAATTGCGTTAATGATTTTGCACATGAGAGAGAGAGAGAGTGTGTCAAAAAGATGAGGCCAAAATAAACACACAAATTCAATTCGAAGGCACGTGATGCATATTCACGTTGACAAGTTTTTCCACTTGGCACACGATGCTGACTTATTGGGCATCAGACAGCGGCTCACCTGATTGATTGATTGATTGATGCTGCAGCAGGTGGGTGATGAAGGTGAAAAAAAGGAGAATTACCAACAATTGGAAGGGATGAAACACGTCTATATACACATATTCACCGACTCCCAGCATCCATGCAGTAGCAGGAGAATGTGCTGGAGCAGCTCGGCAAAGAGAACACCTTTTGCCGTCGTCGTGCTTATTGTCGTATATAGACAGCACTCGAGAAAGTCCTCGTTGTTGCTCTTGCCTTTTCGTCCATAGTACGTTGGCCTTCTTCTCTTCACCTCGGCGAAGATGGGCAGGAATCCCTCCACCTTGAGCATTTTTTGCTTTGCCATACAGTATATGCATCAAGCAATATCGTCGTCATCATTCCCTCGTCGTTGCATATACAATTGAAGTAAACTCACTCTTTGTCTCGGTCCCGCCCAACTTATTGTTGACTCGACGGCCGCGTTGGTCGCGTTCAAGTCGCCGAGGACGAAGGCGTCCATGATGGCGTCGTTGCCGTCAAAGTCGTTAGATGGAGAAGGCGAACTTGCCCCCTATTAAATTACATGCAGCACACATATGTGCGTGTATATTATTGATCAACTCTTGCTGTGTGTGCTGCCGATGATATACATTCTCTCAGATGACCGGTCCAACTCATTATACTGTAGTGTACTGTCAATATTTTGTGTGCATACTGTACAAGGCAGTACAGTATATGTACACATATAGAGCTTCATTTTCTAGCGCTTATCTTCGTGTAGCAATTGAATATACTGTCATCGTGTATGATCGATGCATGATGATGCTGGATGTGGAATGATGAACCTTCTGTTACGTACCTCTTCATCAACCGAATTACAGCAGTACAGTACACTACTGTACATGCTGCTGGAATAATGGTGATACTGTATATACGATAGTTGCATGCAGTATATAGAGTGTGTCTAACTCTCTCTCTCTTTCTCTCTCTGATATGTTCGTGCATGCTGTACACGAAAGAGGTGCTGGACATATACTGTAGCTTAACATCATTATTCCTTTATTATTGAAGCCATCCTCTCGTTCGACGACACGCCTTATCATTGTTTACTTTTTCCACGTTCTGTAGCTGTACTGTATATCATGCCACAATCCTGCTGCTGCCATACAATATCCGGGACAATCAATAAGGGTACTTGAATGCAATATATACAGGTTTCACTTTTCAAGCAAATATTAAATTTTTTTTAAGGATTTAAACGGAGGAATTCGGTCAAGTCTTGTTCTTATTACGGCATCTGCGACAGCATTATTCGCACTGTACATGCACTCTACTGCAGTCACAGTACCTAAACACATGTCGTATATATGTATATACCGTATATACATATATATATATATATATATATATAAACTTGTGCTGCATTCCACATATATATGCGCTGCTACATCCTGAGAATTCCAGCCAGGAAAATTGCAAAAATAAGTCAACTACTGTATATATACACGCGTTACAATAATAAACGAAATGTACATCATCGGAGGTTTTCATCTCACCTTCACCTGCCCTATATACAGTACGCGCCACTTTAACTTTCTCCCAGCAAGCAGGCTTTGCTGAAAAATCAAGCTTTCCTCTTGTTATTGCTAACATTTGTATACAGTACTTGACATCAATCGGGGTTCCCCTCCTGCATCGGTCTTGCATGGCTTATTATCTTTTTTTTTTTAATTTTGTTGAGCACAGCAGGCACATCAGTAAACTACTGTACATTAGAATGCAGTACACGTGACTTCGACAATGCGATGACGTCGATGCAGCTCTGATACATGAGGTGGCACATATATACAAACTATACGTCAGCTATACAGTGCAGTACATGAAAATGTAAAAGATTGCGCGGCATCATCATCCATCGACATGCGTCACGTGTATGCAGTGAATGTCTAGAGTATATATATGTATAGTGCACAGTGCAAAAGTCGACCAGAGAGAAAAAAAAAGGTTTCTTTTCGTCCGTCTCTTTTTCTTTTTCTTCTTCTTCAACCCTTATATAAGTATATATTGTATCCATGCGGTGTTGTATATGTGTGCTACCTACTGGAAATAAATGACTCACTTTCAACATCGAGTGCTGACAAGTCGTGACCCTGTTATTGTGGAGAGAGAAACAAAAACAAAGAGGAAAGAGAGAGAGAGAGGAGACAGATGAAGAAAGGAAATCTTTAATCTTATGACCATCACGACTATTTAATGCTGTACAGTACATGTGTGTTCTCATCAGCAGTTTAGTCACTACCGCACCAGCAGCTGTCATTTAAAAAATTTAGACGTTTCTAAACAAACACAAAATGTAAATTGAACATATGGTGAACGCACCATGATGATGATGCCAGCTTTTATTTTTCAGTGTAATTATTCACACACGTACAGCGCAATAATCTGTGATGATAATGGAGAAACACGTGCAAGTCGAGTGTGTGTTTGAGGAGGCATCCAAGGGAACCAAAAAATACAGAAGATGATTTGGTGTCTTATATTACGCAGTCAATTTTTTTTTTTGGCACACCAAGCACGCACACTGTCCATTGACCAACTCCTCTCACTACAGACAGCTGAGGGATGATGAACTTGACAGAGAGAATGAAAGAAAGCCATCAAGGAGTCTGTGACTGAAGAATTTGGTACCTTAATGTACTGCTGTACCTGCACACTGATGGCTGTTAGACAGCAGCCATATTAATTGGATACTAGATATTTTAATCTGTACCCTTCAAGAGTTTTAACGCATCAGGTGTGCAGAAGAACAGACTACAAAATATTTGCATTGCGTGTGATTGTGAAGCTTATCTTTTTATCCATTGTGATTTGTGTGTGTTTTTGTGTGAATCAATCTTGGGGTTAATTTCAAATATACTTTTATCTTTCTTTTCCCAGCTGCACCCCACATCTGATTCTGTGTTTCATTTTCAAATTCCACCTTTTGCGTAGATCTAATCCACATAGTCCTTTTACCTTCAGCTATACAGTATAATGTTCTGTATACAGTATACTGCAATTTATATTTTATTCTTTGTATACTCAAAGTGGAGAAAAAAGCAATCAGCAATATAAGTGGAGAGTCGCACTACTTGGCACTTGGCCTGGAATTCGGATGGAATTAATAAGGCAGCAGGAAGCAACTGGTGTCATTGTGGGAAGAGGAATTCGGGCCTATTTTTACCCAGGGCTGATTGCGGAAAATTGCAAACATTTTCGTCGGAGTAATTACAATGCCCATATTTCACTAAAAATCCGATTTCACTGCTTTTACTACTCAACGAAACTTATATACACTACTCTATACAATATGGTGCATTATGGAGTATTACGAGCAAAAACATTTTCCTATTATATATTATATATCGTCGACTATTTGCAGAAAAGTGTACATTTTAGCATTATTACGGCAAGGATACATGAGAAGAAGAAATGAACAGCAGACATCGTACCGGAAAAGTTGAATTACGGCAGTCATGATGTGGGCCACATCACTTTTCATTCTTCATTCGTCAACATTATAGTATCACCAATCAAATATATCCATGCGACACACCTTCCATCGATATTGAAATACAAACACACACACGTCGAAAAGAGAAAGGTTTCCATGATTCCGCACAATGGCTGGCTCTTCGTTGCAACATATTGTACCCTCTTGACTTCTCTCCCCCCCCCCCTTTTTTTCCTCTCCTTGAATTCATCCAATAACACGTCACGAAAAAAAAGAAAGAAAAAAGAAATAGATACAGAGGTCGAGATTTTCCAATTCCCTTCATTCGTTGCTTATTCAAAAATAGTCGTCTCTCTTTTTTGTGTGTCATTATTGTCATCCAAATAGTATGCATTATAGTGAAGCAAATAAGCCAAGCAATGAATCAGGAAATATGACCCTTCATGATTCGAAGACGACAGAGGATCAGGAGAAGTCCAGCATGTACATCCAAATTACAAGAATAAAGTACTGTACTGTATATATAGAATTATTGCATCATCACGTGTGTATACTGTACTGCGCTGTGTACGTGTTTCACTTATTGGTTATTGTTCGCACGTTATTGCACTTATTGTTTGTTTCCTGTCGTCGTCGACGTTGATGACGAGCAAGTGTCGGGAAATAAGTCAATGTGGGACGAGGTCATCGTCGTCAGGAAGCTAGGCGGAGGATGAGTCGAAGAAGAAGAAGAAGAAGAAGGGAAGAGATCCGCTTCCTCGACGACGACGCCGTCGTCCGTCGTCGTCGGCGTGTCAGGGACAAACTCCACCAAGTGCCAATAAGCGTCCTGGTTCAGTCTGACCCTGTGCTGTTGCCTAGTGTTATTTGTTCTTCTTCTGCTGCTGCCGTCAATAACAGACTCATCTTCTTTGTCGTCGTCGTCGTCATCATCATCATCATCAGCATCAGCATCCGGTTCGTCATCAGCTCCTCGTCGCCTACTCGTTGTTGTTGTTGCATTGACGTCTTCATCATCCCCTAGTTCAAGTTGTCCATCGTCTCCTGTTGGTGAATAATAAAGTATGAGGAAATCAGCCTGCAGCCCACATATTTAAGTGAAGAAATTGAGCTTACAGTACCTGCATCAGTGGGAACTCGGTGCGACATCTGTTCACGAATCTCGCACACACTAAACAATCGCTTGGGTTCCAAGAGTGACCCGAAGGAGTCGCTGCTACTGGCTAGGGACTCTCGTGATTTGTGGTCTCGGTCTCGTTCGTCGTCGTCGTCGTCGACATTGTCGTCACCAGCATCATAGTCACTGCTGCTGTCGTCCTTGTCCGTCTTTTTCGCACCGATGATGTCAGCATTTCTGGGATTCGATGATGAATCACGTCCATCAGCACTGCTCCATCTATCCACGTTCGTTTTCGACGCGGACCTAGTCTGTATCGTTCGCAGTTTCTCGGAAATGGATGCGTCCACTTCCGGAGTCAAAGGCTCGTCGCCAAGTTTCAAGTCATCTGCGAGATTGTTACCGCGAGAATAAAAAATAAAGAGGAAAAAGAAAACGTGAAGGAATGCGTATTTTACAGTTATATAATACGCAGCATGGGAATAATATCGCTCGGGAATAATATCGAATAAAATTAACACGGTTACCAAAATAATTCTACCTATACTGCTGTACACGCGTGTGCAGTGAATGTACGAGTACCGAAATAAATAAGATACGCGTACATGTTGCAATAATACTCTGCGATTTTTCACATCCAGGTCCCGCATCAATTTCTGCGTCAACTAATGCGAATTAACACACACACACATCACCATCATTGATCCAGAATACAGCACAGTATATGGACTGTTCGTATTATGACATCATCCATGAATTTATATCTTGAATAAGTGCCACACCAGGAGTTGAATGAATAACCGAGTCATCGACTGTCATAAGTTATAATGTTGCAGAGATTCCAATGTGTGACAGACAGTAGCAGGGGAATTTCCCAAAAAGCGTTACTTTGGAACTTGAATCCTGTGCTTTTAAAAGAATGATGTCAATGGAAATTGAATAAAATGTGTGATGCGCGAAACCAAATTATTATTATTTTCCCCCAAAATACGGTTTTAGGCACTTATTTCGACGATTCCGGAAAGGACTTGTTATAGCTTCAGAAAAATTACATCTCATCTCGTATTAATTGTGCTTCTCTGTTCATGATTTCCTTTGGGAGATAAGGCTGGTGTTCTTCTAATAAGACAACGTGGAAACGGAAATGGAAGAATACTGTAGCGGGGGTTCTTCTTTTTAATTTTTTTTTTTTTTTTGCGCGTGAAAACTAAAGGGTTTCGCGCTGTAAAATAATTTTATGAAGCACGGCATATATATATGTGCTTGTTTGAAACTCGAAACTGCAGTGCAATGCTTGTACTGTATATATATATTGCAGAGAGAGAGAGAGAGAGACAGAGAGAAAGGGGTCGAATGAAGAATCGATGAAAGCAGGTCACTCATCGACGCATTCATCGTCAGACGACGACGACTGGCTTTTGAGTGAAAGAAAAAGATTTAAAAAACGCATTTCCTCTCCCTATTGGTCCTTTTGTTTTTATTTTTTTCTCTAATACACTTCGAATGGGAGCACTGTACTGTATATATGTATAAAGAGATACAGTCCATGTTTCTCTCTCTCTCTCTCTCTCGGTCCCCTTTTTTCATTTTTTTTTTTACACTTTATTTTATTCTATTCCTTGTTATCATCGAGGGGGAAAATGTGGGAAAAAAGTCGACTCTGTGGGTGCTGCTGCTGGTGCTTGGTCGGAACTGATAAGCAAGACTTCTCACTTCACAACGACGGACGTATATATACAATACTATATAGCAGTGGTGCCCAACTCAGGAGTGGCCAAGGGCCACATTGAAATAATAGAGCATTATGCGGGCCACAAAGGAAAAAGGTACAAGAAATGTTGTACATGTACTGTGTAATTCTTGGAATGGTTGAAATTATTTTATTTTTCTACACAAAAATTCAAAAAGGATTTCAGGATTTTCATTATCTGGCTTTTTTCATCCACAAACTTTTTTGCTGCATTTTTTTACTGATAAACTTCATCTTGTATCTTCATTACTTCATGATGACTGAATTTTTGTTCATGGAATCATAATATTCAATCTACATACCTTTTCAAAATGATATGCCACTGAAGTCCAAAAACAAATAAGCAACTGGCAACTGAAAATTTGGAGTGATTTTAAATGTTGAGACTAATTTTGGCTGAAACAAAAATAAAAGCCTGTGTTTCAGAAAGTAGAGAACTGATGTGAGGAAATATGGTCTGTAATGATTTCACACAATTCATAACATTTCTTTAAAATTTAAAAAATTGGTCTATGTACAAAGAAGCAATAATGATTCAACCTCCCAAAACATCAAATGTTCAAGGCTTTTTCAGGATGGTCAAAGCCAGGATATGTGTCTGACATGAAGTTAGCACTACACCCCCTAAAAAGTACTTCAAAAATAATTAGTTACTCGGTGAACTTAAGTGTAAACCTAGATCTTATTTAGGTCTGACTGTTAAACTCTGTCTGTAAAAACCTCTGTCCCTGTTAAACTCTCAGAAACCTCTGGAGGCCGGTATTAATTGAGGTAGATACATTTTGAGGCGGGGATAATATGAGACATTTTGAGATAGAAGCATTTTCAAAAAGAAAGTGGGGGATCTGAGGACAACCAGGAAGTGTGCAATTGAAAACTCCCTAAAAATCACCAAGAATCTGAAGAAACCCAGAAAGTGTGTATGTATAAAAATATATCTTGTGTGCAGAGTTGCTTTGGGCAAGGCTCAAATTGTCCTGGTCTCAAAATGTCCATGTCTCCAAGTGTCCCTGTCACTGAATTGCTTAGGCTCAAATTGGACCTCTGTCTTGAATTGGCCCTCTGTCTCAAATTGTTCATGTCACATATGTATTTTTACATGATTCTTTCTTTATATGTTATTTTTTCATGCTATTAAGAAAATTAAGCTACTGTACATCCTTCCCCTATCAAGATATGCAATTAAATAAAAAAAACACAACAGAAAATGCTGTGGTAATTTTTAAATTCCAAGATTGCAAAACCCTGCCCTTTCATTTGAAAAACAGAACCACTGACATCACAAATTAATCCATACTGTTCTATTGGTCTTTCTTGTTACAAGGATTTGTTACAATATTTGTTAAGCCCTAATATAATTCCTTATCAAAATTGCAGACTGAAGACGTCTTGAAAAATTTGCAATTTTTACTTTTTATGGTCTTAATTTTTTGGTGGTGAACTTTCATGCTGTCTTGGCGGGCCAGGTTTTAAGCTTCTGCGGGACAGATCTGGCCCGCGGGCCGTATCTTGGGCACCCCTGCTATATAGTATGAGATTCATTTGACCATCACACTCGTATACATACTTATGCATCATATACCTCGGTCATTGGTTGTTGGTTGTATATATATATACTGTATACTGCAAGTTTATCGGAATATTCATCGGCAAAGCGACGAAATATACCTTTGATGGCTCATCGTGTTTTTACACGCGTTTGACTCGTGGAAAGACGCTGGAATATACTGCAATAACTGCATTATTTGCATTGACACATTCTTCAAAGACAAATGATCTTCACAGGGTTTTCACTCTTTTGGGACTTCCTGGTTATTCTACAGAAAAGGGGAAATGAGTGGACCCTGGTTTGCTAATGGAAGACGGTTGATCTTTCCGTTGACTTGAGAGAGTTCACAAAGTGTGATCTCAGCGAGTAAGGCTAAACAGGGGTTTACCCTTTATAGGATAACAATATATATACTGTACACTGCAAGTTTATCGGAATATTCATCGGCAAAGCGACGAAATATACCTTTGATGGCTCATCGTGTTTTTACACGCGTTTGACTCGTGGAAAGACGCTGGAATATACTGCAATAACTGCATTATTTGCTTATTCAGACACAATAGTATACAGTATGTACTGTACTTGGGTTATTGAGGATGAGAGGAATTTCGACAAAAAACGTATATACACTGTACAGTGCTGTATATGAAAAACATGCCCAGCACAACAATGCAGGAGAAAAGCAGTATATACAGTAATACAAATGCCAGCATCAGCAGGCGGAAAAAAATGCCCAGCAGCTATAGCTGTAGCCACACTACAGGCTCTCTCTCTCTCTCTCTATATATATATATATATACTCCCAATAAGAACCAGTTTCTCTCTCTCTCTCCCTCCCTGTCTTTATTTCATATACCCTTCCTTGTTTATTTTCCTTTCTGTGCGTCAGATTTCTTCTTCTTCTTCCTGTGAAAAATGATATGCTGCTGGGGAGGAAATATTTCCAGGAATAAAAGGAAACGAAAAAACCCGAAACAGCTAGTGGACACAACCATCACCAACCACTTGTTGTTTCTTTCGGTTCTTCTACTCTTTCTTTCTTTCTTTATTTTTTGGAAGTGGCTGCCGGCGATAACACGACTTATTCTACACAGTATGCATTTGGACCAGCATTACAATACAATACACTATACTGTACTGTACTCTCACACATTGTTTTCTGGCATACTATTTTACAGGCCCAACTCATTGTACTACTGAACCAAGCAACACTATACAGTATCCAGTGGGGAAATTCCCTCTCCTCTCCTCATCCTCCCAAGGACGAACTCATCTGCGTGGGAGCTATAGCATCCAACATTATTTGCACTCGTATATGACAAGTACAGTATGTATAAACAGCGGGTCAAGAGTTGATACTGTAATATTAAAATCGAGATTCAAGATACGTATATAAAGTACTGTCATCCCGTTTCTACACACCAATACCGAGTATTGTACAGCACAGTACAGTATTTGAAGAACAAGCAATGTACAGTATATCGTATTTACCGGAGTACCACAGGCCCTCGTCGATGATGGATGAGAACAAGCCGCGGCCAGCACCCGTTTATTTTTGCAAGAAATTTGTCCCAAAAATTGAGAATTGTGAAATACTTTTTTTTTGTTGCGTGGATCCATTTCTTCCCTCCCAGCTGTGATATTTCCATTTCTCTGCATATTGTTTTTTAACCATCATCTGCAACTTCCCCAATTGAACAAATATCTTCCACTTGCATTCCTTCATACAGTATATTCTGTTTCATGTCCAACTGATTCCTTCATTTTTTTATTGCTTGAACCATCATTCCCCGTAGACAGGGATATGAGACTTGGTGCCGCCCATTTCTGCTTTATTTATTTGTTGTTGGTTAGTTAAAATCAGTACAGAACTGTACTCACATGCCTGTGAGGTGCTCTGGTTTTGGGCATTTTTCCGGTAAAAATGTATTCCCATCAAGTACCCCACACACACCGTATTCTTCTACAGTACAGTAAAGTCTTGCTCTAACAAGTACCAATACAAACAAATTTTCAACATATCAAACTTTTTATACTGATGTATTGACAGAAATCCCACAGCAGGTTACATGTTATAAAACTCTCATTACAACAAACTCTTCAATTCCAGGCTAACAAACTTTTTTTTTTTAGTGACATGTTGTGATTTCCCTAATGAAAAATCTTCAATGAAGGCAGGCTCAGTCTCAAATTTTCCATTCAAACTTTATACTGGGATTGGTTCTTGGGACAAAATTGGAAGGGTGGAATCAAGGTGACAAATTCTCCAAAATTCACCTCTCTTTTAAAAGAAAAAGAAATTTTTAATGAGTTAGGGTTAGGAGCAATCGGGTGGGAAGTTCAGAGAGAGAAAAAAAGAAAAGAACCTAAAAACTTGATTTTAAAAGGGGCTTTGCTGGATGCTTGTGGAACCCCATTGCTACTGCTTGAAAACTATTAGCTTTTTGGAATATCCAGCACCCTTGAAAATTCTTTGCAGAAATTGCTTATACAAATTTAAAGTCCTCAAAATGTGCCAGTGTGTTCACCTGTTATTCAGATTATGCCTGTGAGGTGCTCTGGTTTTGGGCATTTTTCCGGTAAAAATGTATTCCCATCAAGTACCCCACACACACCGTATTCTTCTACAGTACAGTAAAGTCTTGCTCTAACAAGTACCAATACAAACAATTTTTCAACATATCAAACTTTTTATACTGATGTATTGACAGAAATCCTACTGCAGGGTACATGTTATAAAAATCTCATTACAACAAACTCTTCAATTCCAGGCTAACAAACTTTTTTTTTTTAGTGACATGTTGTGATTTCCCTAATGAAAAATCTTCAATGAAGGCAGGCTCAGTCTCAAATTTTCCATTCAAAATTTATACTGGGACTGGTTCTTGGGACATAACTGGAAGGGTAGAATCAAGGTGACAAATTCTCCAAAATTCACCTCTCTTTTAAAAGAAAAAGAAATTTTTAATGAGTTAGGGTTAGGAGCAATCGGGTGGGAAGTTCAGAGAGAGAAAAAAAAGAAAAGAACCTAAAAACTTGATTTTAACAGGGGCTTTGGATGCTTGTGGAACCCCAGACGATGACGAACTTTTGATAATCGAAAAACCTTATAGGTCGTGGGAACTTTTAAGAAACGTCTTTAACGAATATGTTTAAATTTCAGGAGTTTTACACGGTCTCACACAAGTGGACGATAAGTCTAAAAAAATGTATATGTACATTTGAATTTAATTCTAAAGATTAATTACTTTTTTCATGCCCAGAAAAACATGCGAAAATGCCAGAAAAGGAAGATATCTGGACTATGTATGCAGGTTTAATTTTATCTTTAAATCTCATTCCCATCGTCTCAGCAATAAACAAACATTTTTGAAAGCCTTGTTACAACAAATCATTTGTTACAAGAAAGGTCCCCACACGTTTGTTGTAACAAGGTTTTACTGAACTTGAAGTTTTTTCTGAAAGAAAAAGAAATGAAAAGAAAAAAAAAAACGTGCGCGAGGTATACTCAAGTATACAATAGTACAGTGCATACTCGTATATCAGGGTCATGTACATGAATGATGATATGTCCACTCACCGAAGCCCAGGTCGTCGTCCCAGGCCAGACTGAAACCCCGCTCGAAGGGCATGGACCTCCATCGCTGGCCCATCCCGGCAGTACCAGAATAAGTACTAGTAGCACCAGCACTACCACTGCTCATGGCAGCATGTCCGTCCATGAGCAACAGGGATGCCGGCACCAGACTCTGCGTGTGTCCCTTGTGTTGTTGATACTGATGGTGCTGGTGCTGGTGACGATGACGATGAGGCGGGGACACGAGGACTGGGCCAGGGATGCGAGGAGCAATAAGTGCTGGCCTCATGCCACTGTCCTGCTGCTGCTGCTTCAAGGATGACTTGGGCCACACGCGGGCTGCAGCCAGCTTTTCCTCCAACGATCGAATCGTCGTCGGCAACCCGTCGTCGTCGTCGTCGTTGTCGTCGTCGTCGTCGTCAAACACGAAGCCCGGGTTCGTGCTGGGTTGCACAGTCAGGGTTCTGGTCAAGGCCAATGCAGAAGACGGGGCTGCTGGTGAGGATGGGGACGACGACAGGCCAGACGCAGCAGCAATAAAGGACGGCAACTTGACCGACTGTTGCTGCTTCCCTGATGACAATGACGAGGTTGCAAGAAAAAGAAGGTTTACAGGCCTGATGATAATTCAGTCACATATATATATACGTTTATATCACATGGACATACACAGCTAGTACAAAAAAACACTGGGCAAAGGGATTAAATTCTCACTCTTCATTTTCGGAATATACTACAGCATATACGTATACTGTAGCCGCTCGTCATCATCGGGTTTTGTTTTTAAATTATTCTATGCCGAGGAAAACTTCATTTTCCCCGAGAATTCATTCATTTGCAGAGCTAGGGAAAACTAAGTTTCAATCAAAACCTATGCAACATTTTCATCGAACTTATTCCAAGTTTAATGCTGATTTTTTTTTAGCTATTGAGGAAAAGAAAAAAGGATCGAGAGTTTGTGTATTGCTATACGTTGTGGTTTTCGACAACAAATTTCACATTCTCTCATGATTTATTTACAGCCCACGTTCAAGCATTTATGTTTCAATATTTTTATGTATAGATCATGTACACATTCAATATTTATACACTGTACTGTATTGTACTTTCAAGCCTGACATTTGCACGATATCATGAGGCCTGTTCAACACATTCAAAAAAGAAAAAAAGAAAATAAAAGAAAAGAAGGGGGGGGGGAGGGAAATTAAAAATATCGAACGGATTTAATTGACTCCATCTCCTGCTCACGTGGAAAACAGTACCTGCATGCACCCGAATTCATCTTCATGAGTGCCGTATTATTGTATACTGTATATACTGTACTGTATGAAAAATAACTTATGACAATTCCACAACTGGGATTTAAAAAAAAAACAACCATAATTGGGCAGATACGGAAGAAATGGAAAATTTGAAACAATAAATAATGTTCTGGTTATTCCAGCATCAAAGGAAAATTTGAGGCCGTCCGAGTATTTTTCCATTTTATTCCATTTCTTATTTTCTCTGTTTTTTGTTCCATCGATTCACACACACACACACACACACACCCACATTTGAAGGACTTCTTCAGCTCCGTGCGGAGATTGAGCTTTTCAAACGAATTTTCCGTGGAAATGCACACAATGCATGTGTTGCCAACGCGTTCAACAATAAGTCAGCAGATAGGGAAGAAATAATAATAATAATAAACGAGAGTCATCTGTATACCATATACTGTAGCAGCAAGACGGAAAAAAAAGAAAAACTTGGAACAATATTCTGCATTGCAAAAGTGTAGTTGAGTACAGGCATTCTCGTCTACTTTTAATTGTACATAATCCTTAATATTGACAAAAGTCTATTCTGCACATACATGGGATTGTGAGCCTTTTTTGTTTTCCTTTCGTTGCTAAATTTCATCAACGAAGCTCGGATTCTTCTTTAAATTCTGGTATTCACGAGTTGAATTCACGTAATGCATATAGCGAGGAATAATCTCTATTCTTTATTATTATACTGCAGTTGCAATTGAAATACCTCTTCTTGGTCATCGAAAGATGTCAATTTCTTTTCTGTAATTCCTCCACTAATTTTACTACTTGCTGCTGCTGCTGATTACAGTACAGTACTGTACTCCCGATCATGACTCTTCCTCATGCACGCAATATCATCAACTCTATCTTGACGATGAAACCCTGCTGACGATGGTAAGATAATATACTGTACAATATACGAAGGTGTTATCTGATACGAATCAGGAATCTCAACCAAGTTTACAAAGGGTGCTGTAGAAAAGAACAATGCTAAAGACTTTCTGCAAATGCTGCGCATTGTTTCATTTCTGATGCCAAAAAAATTACGTCATTGTTTGCTTTTCACGAAGTAATAATTGATGGTTTTATTTTCTGGATTCCCACCGAGTCAGTCGATCAGACTATATACGAAGTGTACAACTAAATAAGCGGGAATTGATTATGCTGTAAATTGAAGGGCAAGTTTTCAAAGAGGCCAAATGTTTCCGTTTTTATTTTTTACCTATATACGTATATACAGATAATGGGTGACAACAATACTGCTGTACACTTGGAAGTTTTTTTCTGTTGTTGTAGAAAATAATCGGGAAAATTCCGCCTCAACCATGTCAACATAATTGTGCACAGTAATAATGCAGTATAATCAAAGCGATAAAAATGAATGCATTTTCAAGACACGAGCTTTTCACGCGTACAGTATTTACTCATCTTTTCTTCCGGCCCATATATACAGGTACAACATGAAATTGAGTCACTACTATACTTGCTAGTCCAAGTGAAGCTTATTAAAGGACAGGGATATTCCAGAATGTTCCCAGCATATGCACTTCATCCCGGAACCCCAATAATAAGGGGATATCGAGGATAAAAGACGCGTTATTTCCTGCATCAAGTATACGGTATATAAGTAGAGTACTTGACGCTTTATATGTACAGCAGAAGGTGTTTGTGATGATGATGCGATTCAATATTCGAGGTAGTAATTTGATCTCGGGGTAAACCCCTTTCTTTAATATATACTGCATTGTATAGACGACGCCTGCTGGTCGGCCGCAATAATGAAGGTGCAAATCGCTCACCATCAAATAATTCTTGCCACATAATACAGTACACAATAGCCAGTATAATAAATCTGGTTCAGGGTTTTCAATGGATGTACAGTATAGGCAAGTACAGTATACAAAATGAAACAAAGATGACGATATTAGACAGAGTAATAAATGAAATGAAATGGATTCTTCGTACACGAAACAGGTCGGAAACAAAAGAAAAAAAACCATGAACACGCTTTAAAAGTGTATAAAACTCACCGTGTACTGTAACCATGCTGGCAGTATAGCTGCATGTGTAGGTATATACAGTAAGTATATACAGTATATATATATATATATATATATATATCAAGTATAGAGTGGGTTTAGTCATTATTACTGCTGCACAGCAGTAATAATTCGAGTTATACAGTAGTAGATATTACTATTACTTTATGGCAGCACTTGTTGTTGCTGCTGCTGCTGCTGCTGCTACATGCAGACGAATTGATTTAGACAATAATAATAATAAGAATAATAAAAGACCTGAGCCTGATGCTCATGATGACGTCTGTGATTTGTTCATATATAAACAGCACACTGTATACTTTTAATGATTTGAATTCACAGCACATTTGAATAAGAGTATACTGCAGTACAGTAATCAGCTATATATCCGCCTCACCTGCTGGTGGTGCTGATGATGATGACGACGACGACAATGGAGCAATCGACAGCGGCGATGCCGACAAAAAGGACACCACTCCTCCTCCTCCGAATCCCGACTTTTGCTGCTGTTGAAAATGGTGGTGGTAGTACTGGTGGTGGCCCCCTCGCAGGAGGGTTCCTCTTCCTGCTGGCGACGACGACGACGACGATGAGGCACCACCACCACCACCGGTGGCGTACTCGTCTGCAAAGTCCTTGACTTGGCACCTGCAGAGCCTGGTGAGGCCCAGACACGCAGCCAGCGTGATGAGCGTGCCTGCACACGCCCAGTACACGAGGTACAGGTACTCGCGGCCCTGCAAGTGGTGCCCGCCCATCAGGTCCACGCCGTCCCGCAACCCGGGCTCCAGTGCGGGCACCACGAAGATGGCGTAGACCACGAAGCACAAGCAGGCACCCAGGGGCAACCCGACGACGAGGATGCAGGTGCGAGACATGCTTTGTTCACCGTATATATATATATACTGTATATATGTCCCAGTGTCTGTCTCTTGTCTCTTGTCTCTTATTTTTATTTTACTTTATTTATTTTGACGAGTCGAAAAATGACAGTACTGTACAGTATTATAATGATGTCAAACATCCACTCTCACTCACTCACTCACTCACTCACTCAAACGCCGGATGAATCCAATCCATCAATCAATCAATCAATCAATCACATGAGTGTATATCATCATCATCATCATCGCGTGGGTCGTCCTCGTCTGTCTTTTTCTCTGTCTGCTGTTATTGAAGCATATATACAGTACAGTATAATAATAACCAGCACAGAATAAATTGTATAATTATGCAAAATTGACACAACATCATTTTTTATTCTTGGAATATGTAATAAATGAAAGGCAAATCTCAACAATAATGCACTGTATATACAGTACAGGAAAATGGCAGTATACAGTCAACCCCCACACTACAATGAGCTTCATTTGATTTTCCAACATATGTTTACACTTATGGTGCAAAACGTGCAAAATTACAACCAAAAGAACTAAAAAAAAAAAAGCGCAACACAAACACACACACACATTCACAGCAATAATCATGACATTTTTTTACATTCAAATTATAAGTTGGGAAGCAGCAATAAGGGAAGACTTGAGGGACTCATTCCCAGCACTCCTGGCAGCAGGGCATATTCTACAGACCAAAGTCTGTTACATGCTGACTTATCTGTTATGCAAGAGGAAAAACTGCCTCCATGCAGAGGCAGTCATCTGCTCTGCAAAAATCTGTTGTGCGAGGGTCAACTGTATTACTCTATATATACTGGGTAAATAATTTTTCGATGCTTGTTCATGCAGACATACAGTATATTGTACATTTATTCATACAGTAATCCACTGCAGCACTGTGCCATTACTGTTGTACTGTATATGGATGCAAGCATGCATCAGGATGCATCTTTCTATATTCTGTACAGTATATCAGTATGATGTGAATTTAACCCAGGTGATAAGACTGATACTATAGTCAAACCAAGTTTTAATTAGGTTCCAACCATTCAATGCAGAGAACAAATTTGAAAAATATATGCAGCTAAAATGTTTTACAGTACAGAGCTGAAAATTTTACTTGAGTTTAATGTGAAAAAGGAACTAAAAAAAGAATCATCCTTGCAGAGTTTTTTTTATTTTTAAAGTTGATTAACAGGTTTGGCTTGCTTTTGGTATAGGTTTTAACCCTTGGGCAGCGATGCTGGCATTTATATCCACACAATTTTGTGCCCCAAGGAGTGTAGAAAAAAATGGAGTTAGAACGAGAATGGTCAGAAGAGCCAGAGTTGGGAACCATAACAATTTTTTCTCCAATTGTGCAGTAAAATTTGGAAAAAAAAGTTGCTGTTGGGTGGTATTTCTCTGCATTTTTGCCATATGATTAGCATTGGGGGATTATCAGAACAATCGATTTTTTTTTGTGGATTTTCCCCAACTTCAGCCACTCGGCCAAATCTGCGTTTTGGTCAACCAAAATTGCAGGAGCCTTCCAAAAAATCCTGGCACTGCTGCCGCAGGATGGAAAAGAACCCACTGCTGCCCAAGGGTTAACCATTGGAAATTACCAGTGGCGGCCTTAGGGTGGGGCGAGAGGGGCGGCCGCCCCAGGCCCTGCGCTTGAGGGGGCCCCGCACTTGAGGAGGGCTCCGCTGTCTGGTGGTTCTGAAAATTGGCTGTCCCCTTAAATTTTTTTTAACTTGCCTTGAACCTGGAAGGAGTGGGCCCCTTCCGAAAGGATAAGTTTATTTTTAACTCTTGACAAAGTTTCCCACCAAGTGATCTGATCTATTAGTGCAGCACAACAAAGCCAACAATGCATTCAGAAGAATATTGGCATAGGAGCTTTCCTTCTGCATATACATTTTTCAATCTTCAGTGAAATTTCTGTTGAAGATAAATGCATTTTCACATTTTATAAGGTCTTGTTGAGTCCTCATCAATAAGATTTAAAAAAGAAACAATGCATCTTGAATTTTGATTCACTACCATAATGTCAATCCTCAATGTTAAACTTTCCCATGTAGTTTATGCAATGATGGTCCAATTTGCCATCAATATTTCTAAAAATAAGATGATCAAGATTACAATGAAATTCACATTTATGACTTCAAAGTAAATGTGCTGCTCTATTACAGATAGAACAATATTGTTGCTGAACCTTGCTAAAACATGAACTTAAGATATTGATTATCTTTTGCAATTGCATTTCCAGTGTACCCCTGGCAAACCCCTCAAGAACAATTCCTTTTAAATCCCCCTGAATGGAAAGTCTTTATCTCTAAAGTTAGTCTCTTGCTAGTAAATTATCCTGCAGTAATACCTTTCTATTATAGAATGGAGGCCAAATTTTAGAGCAGCTGTTCCAAAAAATGAGAAAAATAATAAAAGTGATGTTTTTCAAAACAAAGCTACATTTCTACATGTTGGTAATGTGTAAATAAATAAAAAATTATAAGAAGGCCCGAAAATGATTTTGTTGATCAACCTGAACACAAATTGGGCAATAATCTTAAACTGCCATGAAACATTTTTGAAAGTCCTTTCAAATTCAACCTGAAGATAATCAGCAACATAACTGCTGAGGCAGATTCATTTGTCAGAATTTCACATGCAAAAAATTGTATTTAATCTGCAGAATGTTAAGATAAATGAATGCTGAGCAGCTTAATTTGGTTTCAGGAAGATGAGAACCATTGAGTTTTGATTAGCTGCACTTCTTTTCTGCAGTAATTATTATTGTTATTATAGTACAGTAATTTGATTTGCAATGGCAATTTTGGTTAGTAAATTTTTAAAAATTGTATGTACAACCAATTCAGCCAAAACAAACAATTCTACCTTTAAAAAAATATGAGATCCTAGTACAAATAATTGAAAAAATTCTAAAAGTTTATTTTAAAAACTTGAAGAAGTTCTTTTTATAGCTTCCAAGAAATGTAATTGCATTTGCAGCTTCACTTTGCTATGAATCTTATTTTTCATAGTTCAAATGCTGATTGAGAATTGGCAGGGGAGTGTTTTTAAGGGGCCCCGCATTTGACATTCCTGCCCCAGGCCCCGCAAACCCTAGGGCCGCCTCTGGAAATTACTTTCATTCAAGTCAAGTTATTACAAACTGCTCATTACTTTCAAATGTCCTATACTTGCATCAGGAAAATGCTATGATTGCTTGTGGATAATACTGTATATATGAAGCATGAGTTGGATACAACCCTTCTCATATTTGTTTTTATCGTTTTCTGGAAATGGTTCTTCAAATAAAATTTAACCAACGTTCAACAAGAAAGCAAACTTGGAAATAAAAATAGACAAGTTTTTCTTTCTCGGTATAATTCAGTTTAGGTCTTGAAAAAAAAACAAACACTTGAACACAATAAAAGGAGGTATTCAATTGAACCAGGTCTCTGAGTTACTATCGAGGTCCAACTTTATTTGCTTTGTTCTTGGTTTTTGTTGAGTTCAATTTAAATTTGTCCCGAGCAGCATCATGTAAGAATGTACAGTATGTACAGTATACTGGTTTTTTTTTCACCCACTATATACGCACTGATGAAGTCAAAACAATTTAGTCATTATAACAGGAAAGAATTATTTCGTCAGCTGAGGGTACAAGCACAGCCATGCAATACCTAAGTGAATAAATGTGTCCATCAACAGTTCAACACTGAACACTACCTGCATCGTCCAATTTTGCTGCGCAATGAATTCAACGCACACACCCACTGAATCTCACACCCACACATCACTCGACTAAACTATGTACAATACTTAATATATGCTTCGCATAATATAATGGAGCAGGAAATGTACATCACTTATGCACCCACTAAGTATTTATTGCATATGCAGTGCAATAATATGCAACAGTTCAGCAGTCCCAATATAGATGTACAGTTTATAATGCGTGCTCGCGCGGGCGCGGGATAATAATGAACACAAGTATGCGTACACACTAGCTGTGCTGCACAGCTAGTGTATATACCTTAACACTGATATGTACAGGATTTGGAAAAATGTCACCATCATCATCAGGACGAACGACGACGACGGCGACCCCGACTCTGAACTGACTCTGACAGATCCGCGCTCTTTTTCCTCTTGGCTCCTTTCCTTTATTCGTCCGCTATACAGCTTAGCTTGCTTCTTCTTATTTCTTTTCTCTTCTTCCCTCCCATCCCCCATTATATTCCTGGTCATGGTTTATTTTTATTTTTTACTTTTTACATACGTGCATCTTTCCGCAGAAAACGACGATATGAGAGACAGCAACCAATAAATAAGCCAGCGACCAGTCAGTCATGTTGTACCCAACAACAGCAGCAGCAGGACAGAAACCCTTTTGAATGATGATGCGGCACATCTCGCGTGATTCACGTTGCCAATAGATGTGAAGTGCCTCTTTTTTTCCTTTTTATTTTGTATAACAGTGGAAAGTTCCGGCGAGAACGAGAATCAAGTGGAGTAGCCTGTTTCTTTCCTTCCCCCATCATATACACTGTATTGTTGTTGGCTGACTATATTATGTAGAACTGATGCTGATAATGAGTCGTCTTTATGTTTTTCATCAATGCCAGCCAGCTATTGTGCCAAGATTTTTTTTTCAACATCATTACGTAAATTTAAAAATTTTTATTTTCAATTATTGCAGGTATTCTGTTATGGTATGTATAAATAGGCTTCATGGTTTATGAGTGAATGGTGCACTGTATTGTGATATATATACAGTATATGCACTGCACTGCGAACAGAATCAAGTTGAACTCAATTTTCTGCCTTCTTCTTCTTCAACATACTGTATACAGCAGCAGTGCAGCAGGTATCAGAGGAATCAAGTGAAAAAAGGCCGCAGACCTGATGCTTCTATATAATACACATACACACACACACTAAGCATTACTGTAGAAGTGTAAAGTATTATAATATACAGACATCAGGCGGAA